CTTTTTTATAATTTACCTTTCTTTCCTGTATGACTCCACAACTGTCATTTCTAGTTTGCTATTATACAACTCTGTGGTAAATGGGACGCATGTCACTTTTTAATGGAACTGTCTCTGCTAAAAGATCAAAGACAAAACAAAAATTACATAAGACAGAGTTCCACTTTAGAAACTGTATTTTTCAAAGCAATGTTGTAAGCAATCCAACCTTTCTCTGTTCTCTTTTTCATAAACATATCTAACCTGAGAAGCAGAAGCAGACTCCAACTTTTCTCTGCCCATTCTATGCTAACCCAGGGTGCATGTACTTTGCAGATTTGATGTAGTTTGATACCACTTTAACTGCCATGGCTCAGTATTATGGAAACATGAGCGTTGCAGTTTTGCAAGGTCTTTAGCCTTTTCTGCCAGATTGTTGGTGCTTCACCAAACTAACACTCTCAGGATTCCATAGCAAGGAGACATGGCAGCTAAATGTTGAACTGCATTTCACAGTGTAGATGAACCTTTGGTCTCACATAGCTCACTTGAGTGATTAGACCGTCCAAGCTATTGAAAGACCAGTTTGAATTGCCCTATCTGGGAGAAGCCCAGACACCACTACTTTTGTTTTTGTCTGGATACCCAAAGGGAAATGTCAGCCAAAAGTGATGTCAGGGATGCCCAGGGTTGCCTTTCCTCTGAAAACTGCTCTGGTGAGTTATTCCTAGATACTGGCAAGTTTAGTTATCTAATGAGTAGATCATCTTATTTTAAATGTAATTGGCTATTTCTGAATTAGTTTGGTCTGTAGTGAATTAAAAACAGGAGTTAATTTGTCTTTCTTGCCCAGGGTTCAACCACATAGTGCCCAACCTAAGCCAAATTAAAGAGATCCCTATGAAATGGGTCTATTGTAGAGACCTGCTTTTCACATATTCATTTTTTAAATTCAGTAGATCTAGGTACCATGAAATGTTACCAAACTTGCTTCTTTTTCCAGAGGGGTACTGTGAAATGACATGTGTGCGATTTTGTTTGTACAGTTCTTCAGCAACAGTAGTTGCAGGAAGCATTCTGACTCTTCCTTACCTTTAGACATATATGTGTACTTAATCTACCCATTTTCTTTCCAATTATTGATTTGCAGAATTGATGATGCAGTTATAAGACAGAAGAGTAGGATGTTTCAAGCAACATGTAAGAATAAGCAGTACAAAAAGATTTGAGAGTGGGATGCAAAGGAATTGCCTGCTTTGTTTTACTTGATTCTTCTCCCTTTCTATCAAGCAACAGGAACTGTAATATGAGCCATATCAACAAGTATAAAAAGGTGGGTGACTGGACCATATAAATGATGAAAATTGTCATTTGACAGCTATAAACAAGTGGCAACAGCAGATGAAACTAAGAGATGATCAGGTGGCATTTAAAAATAAATAAATTCAGGCACAGATGGGTTTACCTTCACAGAAAACAATCTGGGATGGCCTCTCAACAGTCTATCTCAGATACATGTCCAAGTAGCAAATTATATGTGAAAGCACTGAAAGGGGGCTGTGAAACCGAAAGAAAAGAACGTTCAACAGGAAGGAGTGCTTATGGCATGTCAGTTGAGATCATATTCTAGAAAACCATGTTGATTAAGAATTAAAAAAAACTATTGAAATGGGACACAGGAAGCAGAATATCTACTATAAGTGTCAGACAATAGGCTTATCATTTCTGGTAGCTCTGGGAACTGAACCATCACAAATCTTGGGTACCAAGTCTATCATTTAGGGTAGGGTTCTAGTAAAAGTGTATACAGTGTTTGCCCATCTTCCATTTCACAGCAGGTAAGCCCGATATCTGAATATCTTTCCAGCCATGGTCGAACACCTCAATTATTGTTCTAGCTCTCTTTCTCCTCTCTAGTCCTTAACTGTACCAGTAATACAGCTTATTTATACCAATATTTTGTTTAAAAGCATCATCAACAACATAACAGTGAACTGTACTACAAGACTGTCAGATTCTATTTAACTACTCCCTTTCTCTCAGCAAAATGGATACAGCAACATTAGTCTTATATTGCCAGGCTGGTATAACCATAGCAGGTACTCTGTGTGAACTGCTACCTCACACAGGACAGGCAGGTTTCTGTCCAATCACAAGTACACCAAAGCCTTGGGTGTCTAAATTCTTTGGTTTGGAAAGGAGTAACACATTTATGGACATCACTTTTCCATGGGAAACACCAAAAAATAAGATGATGATGAAGAAGAAAAAAGATGAAGAATAAGTACCAACCAGATAGTTGGAGCAACTCTTTGTTACTGTAATTCTAGCCAATAAAAGGTTGTAAAGGTAAAGGTAAAGGTTTTCCTCTAACATTAAGTCCAGCTGTGTCCAACTCTGAGGGTTGGTGCTCATCTCCATTTCTAAGCTGAAGAGCTGGCGTTGTCCATAGATACCTCCAAGGTCATGTGGTTGGCATGACTCCATGGAGCGCCGTTACCTTCCCGCCGGAGCAGTACCTATTGATCTACTCATATTTGTATTTTTTCGAACTGCTAGGTTGGAAGAAGCTGGGGCTGACAGCAGAAGCTCACGCCACTCCCCGAATTCAAACCTGCGACCTTTCGGTCAACAAGCTCAGCAGCTCAGTGGTTTAACCCACTGAGCCACCGGGGGCTGTAGTCACCTAGTTTCTCAGAAAAGAAATTTTCAGAATCATGTCTGCATATTTTGCCTCATAATTTGCTTTCTACTATATCTTTTTTTTCAAAGAAAGAGGAACCAGAAGTTTTGTGCAGAAGTCTCACCAACTCTTCCTTTGGTGAGAAGTCAAGAAAAGCACTGGCATACACAGGGATCAACCTCAGTAATTCTAAAAAAGTCAGTGCATCTCAAATAAATATGAAGAATATGAAGAATTTCAATAATAGAAGATGCAGATGGAAGGAAGGAAGGGTAGAATGGTGAAGGTGTTTCAATGTAGAAAAATGTATATGAAATGTATATGTATACAAAGGTTAATCAAGGTAATTCATAGTTCTTCAGGAATTTATGGTTTTCTGAAAGGATTGAGCTAAATTGTTACATAAACAATCTAATATCTAATCATCTTCCAACTGAGACTATACTCCACACATAGGTTTGTGTATTTCACAAAAGGTTTGGCCAAATGGTTAGTGTTTAAAGTATCATATCCTAAAACAAACTGCTACTGTTGCAGTTAGAAGTGAATTTTGTTGTAACTTCTATTGATTTAATGGAATCACTGTAGCTGAGTTTTACAACTAGATTTAAGCCAATATGTTCATCGATCATCATCATACGTTAAAACATTGATTCCGTATGTCATGATCTATATACCTTAGGTGGAATACTTAATTACAAGTACGCTTCATACAGTTCTTTGTATAGCTTGCCCTATTGCTGTTGAAGACAACACATCTTTTAAATTTTTTGAGGGCATCAAGAATTTTGAGCACAATGGATATATTGCTTCTAAATTAAATTAATTTTTTAAACTCAAAAGTTATTTAGAATACAGTATCATTATTATTATGATCTTACTTCATGATTAATGTGGTAACCTTCAGTGGAAGGAATTTCCTCAAATCAGATGGAGAAACCTTGTGTGTGCAGATGATCTACTTGCATAAATTTTCTCAGCCCAACATGGGACAATACACACTTTATGGACTTCATCTTATGAGCGGGAAAGCCGTATTACTCCATCTCCTCCCATCGACGTCCGTCTTCTGGGATGGCCAGCCATCCCACGTCTTTTCCCATGTCAAGGTCTGAGTTTACCCCACTTTCTCCTGATTGGAGTTGGGTAACACCCAATTCCTCAACATGCATTCTGGGCTCTGTTTCAATGCACTGTGAAAACAGAGACAAACCAAGTATCACCAGGAGTGCCCGTATGTCATGTGAGACTCCTGTGGGATTCAGTTTCCAAAGTGCATGGAAACTGCACCCAGAATGTGTGGGATGAGGTACTTAGAAGGGCTCACACAAGGAATTGCGACAGAAAAGGTATTTCATGCAGGAACCCTCTACAGTCAAATTGTATGCATAACCCTATTTCAAAGTCAGCTACAGGCCCGTAGCCAGGATTTCGTTTCGGGGGGGGGGGGTGAATTTTTTTCAGGGGGGGTCTGAGTGAAAGAGGGTCTACCCTAGCAAACCTTTTGTATCATTACCCCAATACCCCCATGTATATGGGATATATTGAGTATGGTGATCAGATCATGATATGAATAAACATAACAGTTTAAATAATGCACCAGTAAGGCCTTTTCGTGAACCACCATGAGAATTTCGGGGGGGGGGGGGCTGAAGCCCCTCAAGCCCCCCCCCCGGCTACATGCCTGGTCAGCTATTAAAGTTTGTCAGTCAGAGGTCTGGTTAATTTTTTTCTTATGGAAAATGTGGTTCTGGAGGTGGTGGTGGAAAAAATTGAGGATTCCCCCCTCCCCAAAGAAAACCCCTCCCAAAAAAATTATGAAATGCATGAAGTCTTATGACAGCTAATTATTTTAATGTGTCGAGAGACCTTTCCTTATCAAGAAAGAGAAATATTTTTAGTATATATATCCCCCCCAAAAAAAAAACCCCCAGAGTTCACAAATTGCAGTAAGAAACCATCCTACCATTCTAAAGAAATAAATATGGACACATTTATTCCCAACATGGAATTTTCCAGATAGAGTTGATTGTGTCTACAGTCTTCTTTAACTTATTGCTTTTGGGAATTAAGACAAACTTGGTGATGAATATAACTTTCTATTAGGCAATTTTCTGTTCCAGTTGTGCACAGCCACTTATGAGCTGCAAGATAACAGCTCAATCAAACCTTATTATATCAGTCTTATTTGCGCCTTAGCAAAATGCACAGAGAATATTCTGATATTGTATCAAGTCATGGGAAAAAAATAAAGCACAACTCATAAACGGTTATCTTCAAAGCAGAAAAAAAGAAAATTGGCATTACACATACATTTTCTTTCTTTTATTACACATACCTTTTTGAGTTCTCTTAATTTCTTCTGCCACACAGCTTGAGCGACAGAAATATATTTGCTGTCAGTTACATAACAGTTTGCCACAAGTATATGATGGAGTTCTGCTCTCATGGCTTTCAGGATTTTTTCAACATGGTTTAATGAAAGCAAAGCCTCAGCTTCCACACCAGCATTTGTAAGCTGCATAGTACATGGCACTAATGCAATCTGTCCAGCGCAGTACAGAACATCTCCAATCTACAAGAGAATAAAAGCAGGGAAAAGCATGAGGAAAAAAAGAGAGAAGAATTGTCTTTCTGAATCTTTTATGAGAGTTTATTAAAATGATCTTTTACTCATGTACAGAAGGAGCAAGTATAATAGTGCAAAGGTCATTTTTGACGGGAATTTGGTTACATCATAAAGAGTAAAGCATTTTAATAAGTTTGAACCTGAATGTTAATAAATGCATGTTCACGTATGCACAACCACCTTCAAAGAAATCATCAATGAACTGAAGAGGCAAACCCAGAAATATGTAAATTTAACCTTTCATAATGTCATAATATTTCCAAGATATCAGTGAAAGATTTTAGATCCTGTTTCTAATAAATGTGTTTACAACTTGTCAACCTGGAGTACACAGAAGGGGGGGGGGGGTAGTTGGCAAGAATCGCCATTGACTTTAAGTAACAATTATCATTCATTTATAGCAACTATTCCCATTAATTTTCATGGCAGGTTCACATCACTGTTGTGGCACATGGGCCTCAAAATACAATTTTCCCTCCATCCCACAAATATGATATTTGTTGAAACATTTAGCTGTTTTTAGGACTGAAACATTTTGACATGTAATGTGTATGCATATAATACTAATACCAAAACTTTATTTATATCCTGCCCGATCTCTCTGTGGGGATTCAGGGCGATTTCCAACAAGAAACAGCAAACATTCAATGCCATACCAACAAAAATAATGTGATGAGAATTTAAACAAAGACATCACAGGAAAGAAAAAAAAATTTGACTGCTAAGCAGTAAAAGACAAAAAAAGGGAATTAAAACCATTAACAATGTAACATTTAAATTTAAAATTCAGAACCAACGTAGCCAGAGTAATAAGCCATTTCCAATTCCGTGGTAACAGTGCTACATAATGTGTACAAATACATAATGAATCCATCTATGTGAGATGTATTACTTTGTAGGTTTAATTTAAATGAGCTATATAATTTCCATTCACACAACACCCATCTACATTAAGTTTCAAAAAATAACCTCTTCCTTTCCTCTACTCCAAGGCCCCATCTACACTACCATACAATGAAATTTGAAACTGCATTATATGAATCTACACTGACTATAAAATGCAGTTTCAACTGCATTATATGAAACTAGATGGAGCCTTAGATTGCATTATTCAAAAGGTTTAAGGCAGTTCCACCATATCCTGGCCTTACTCTTGAACACTCAAGACGGTGGCAATGGCCAACAGCATTTTCTTTCAGTTTTATATTTGTCCTTAGCTGTTTTTTTTTTTTTTGACAACTCAGACGTGGTCTCTATCATTTTTTTGCTAATTCCTCTTGGGCACAAGTACTGAGTTTGTTTAACAGAAGCTTTCCCTGGAAGACAATGGACAAATTGAATGTTGGTTCAGAATATTCTGGTTGCGTTGGTTAGAGCTTTAAAATGTTCATTTTGAAGCTAACTTTGGGATGAATACTTCAATAACATTAATGGTTTTATTTTACAAAAACAATGTGCAACTTGTTGATAATATGATTTTTTAAAAACTCCAAAAATCTATTCAGTATAGAGAATTTTGCTCCAAGTGCCCAACCCTCCATGGTGTTTCCCCAAATTGTGCCTTTAAGTGTCAAGTAACATGACTCAAAATGTTAATGTTGATGTTATAATGCTTAAATACTGATATTATCATTTTTAGTCCAAACCCGGAAGGAAATATTTGAAAGGTTGAAATCATTTTGGGGATAGAGATCTGCATGCTGATAGAACCTTTGAAGGTCAGACAAAAATCCAGAAATCACTGAATGACATAAAAGCCAACAGTTGCAATTGGCTTGGTACTTGATGGTTAAACCATGTCTCTACTGGCTGGAATACTGGTAAGAGGAAATGATCACATCACATCCTTTCCCAGCTTCAGTGGGACCTACTATGTTTCTTTCCAGCTTGATTCTTGGGGCTATGATTGGCAGCAAAGCCCTAAATGACTGAGATCTTGAATATCCTTTTGCCCATACAAGACTGATATTTTCCATAGTTTATAATAGCTTTCTATGGGTTCTTCCAAACAGGTCCTATATCTGAGGATCTGATCCCAGGTTTTCTGATTATCCCAGACTGCCTGGTAGTGCAGGCTCATATAATCCAGTTTAAAGCAGAAAACCTGGGATCAAATCCTGGGATATGGGGCCATAGGAAAAAGAAACCTGGACCCACGGTTGCTTTTTCTTTCATCAGCTTTAATTTCAATGTTTTTTTTTTAAAAACCCTCTCTTTTTTGGTTTGACATTTGTTTTATTTTATTATCACTTGTTTGTAAACTCCCTGGCTACTGGCAGGGTAATACAACAAATAAAACACCTGTAACCAGGCCACATGTTAGAATCTTACATGCGCTGATCCACAAAATATCACGGTCATCTTATCAAAATGCAGTAAGTTTGACTATAATACACAAGTTGCATTCCTTAAAAAGTCTATTAAATTGTGATAAAAAAAATAAAACATATGGGGAAACAGGTACAAATATCACAAAAATATTACAGGTAGCTAAAGTGTTTATTTAATTTGCCACAAATTATAATGATTACATTTTTATTATAAGCATAAATGCCCTCTCTGAAAAGATCCCTAATAATAACTAAGCTAATAATGTTTGGTTTGCTTTGCACTGCTTGCTGCAGCAGTCAAAAGTTATGCAAATACTTCTCCCCCTCCCTCACCTTTGCTCATCTTAATATATAATTTCTTGCAAATACTCCCATTCACTTTTTCCATGTGACTCATTCACTCCTGTCCCAGTTTAAAATCTCTTCACTGCTAAAAGGGGTGCTGCTCATCTCCATTTCTGATCTGAAGCGCCTGCGTTGTCCTCCAAGATCACGTGGCCAGCATGACTGTGTGGAGCACCGTTACCTTCCTGCAGAAGTGGTACCTATTGATTTGCTCACATTTGCATGTTTTCATGCTTCTGATGCCACCCCCCTCCCATCCATAGACTTATTAAATAAACCATGCAATCAAGATGACTTTTGGATTTCTTCACATGTGAAAATCATCTTAGTTGCATGAGTCTTTTTTTTACGAAATCTATGGTCCCATTGTCCATGAAGAGGAAGTTCCCAAAAGTATTGTGCACATTTAAATTATTTTTATATTATATTTAATAATTTTAAGAAAATTATTTTTTCCAAAATTAAACCTTCAAAAAGGGATGGTGCACCTTACATTCCATGGTGCCTTAGATTTGATGAAATACAGTATTTTGAATGTTCAAGACAAAATCAGATAGTAGCCAATTAAGAGTTGATGTTCTGCAAATGGTATTCCTCCATTGAGTAACTGTGTTGTGGTCAATTTGCATTGTAAAAAAAGCATGTATGATACCATTACTTACTATAACTGATAACCATACTACAAAAGCAATTCTGATACCACAGAACTAATAATAGCAATCTAAGGAAAATGGAGCAGATGACTGAGAAGGGGAAATGCAGCCCTAAATAAATAAATAAATAAATAAAACAGGAATGTCTCGCTACTCTTAATAAGTTCAAGTCTCTGGGAACAGATGAACTACGTATTAGGAGATTAAAAGATCAGGCAGCAGTAGTCCCAGAACTACAGACAACGATCTTTGAGAATTTCAGGAGAACAGGAGTCCCAGCATATTGAAGAATCGCAAATGTTGATTCTATTTTCATAAAGCATGAAAGCAACCAACCAACCAACCAATAAATAAAACTGCCACATACAACCTTCATTGATAAGTCAGAAATTGTCAGCAGAAGATGCAAACATTGAAATCAGTCATTGAGTGAAATAACAGAATCGGAAATTATGAACATCAAAGGACAAGTCATCATCGCTTCATGAAAAAATGTAAAGGTCATACGAGTACTCTGAATTGTATCATAAGATAAATTTACTTAGGGCAAATTACTTTTGAGAAATTCGCATAATGTTTTCCATGCACAATTTAAAAACAAAAAACCCGGCACACAACCTGATGTCCTAAAAGACATGGCAATCAAATCATGTGACAAACCCATATGCAGCTCCAAATCTGTCCTTACAAAGCTGCCTATATCTCATAGAAGAGTCACACATGTAACTATTGGAAGAGCATGTTAAACTATTTGGCAATCAGATTCTATGATTAGCAGCTGAAGAGAGGGAAGGGGCGAAAGGAAAATATAATAGACCCACTGACATTCATCAGCCATATTTTTAAATTGTTTAAGATGTCTAAAATATTGTTCTGTCATGCTATATATAACCAAAAAGTTGGAAGAAAAAGGAAAGCAATTAATATTTTTGTTAAAAGAACAAATGGTTTTTGTATATGTGTGTGAGAGAGTGCTATTTAAAAATATGTGCCACTGAACAAGGGAGTCCAGCCAGCTATCAAGTGGCATATTGACAAGATGAGCAACAATTCCAGAAAGAAATTATTCAGACGGATGGTATTTATTTCTTCAGACGGGTTTATTCCAAAGCTAATTCCACAGACAAGGTGAAGCCCTGGTGTGGGTCATTCACATTATTCCACCAAAAACCCTTCTTACAATTTGACCTCGATTTTACATGCCCCACCAACCCCCCCCCCACTAAAAATTAATTATCAGATAGAAGGAGCTGTTCAACCAGTTCATTTCCCCTATTCTTGAACAGATTGTTTGAGACATAATATGAATACTAATTACTGATAAAATATCTGTCAGTGTTTTGAAATATGTACCAAGATAACACCGTCTTAAAAGTCTCCCAGATACTTTTAATAAAATTAACCCACAAGTTTAGTTTAGCTTTAAAAAAAATCTAATCTTGTTACTTTAGAGAAAAATGGCACAACTTTCGGCTTCAATTCTGAGGCCTCTGTCTTCCTTTCTGAAATATTTTCTACAATGATTTTAATGGAATCTAATGGGATTATAGGTGGCTATAGATAATGCAGTTTAAGGAAAATACAAGTTCTGCACAAATAGGCATGAAATGTAGGTTAA